TATTTTCATATTAAATACTTTTCTTCTACAAAAACTTTAGTTATCTTTTTATTGTTTCGTTAAAATATCAATAATACAAAAAATATTTAAATTTTAAATTCCTGCAAAAATTGTTTTTAGTTTAAGTAATTATATTTTTAAAAATGGAAAAACTTTCTAAAAAGTTTATATTGCATAATCTTCCCTGTGGGTTTGATATTCAAGTCTTAATCAAAAAGTCTGATATTACTTGATAACGATACGCATACTTGCGTAGTATCCTAATATAAATATATATAAATTAAAAAGATAAATTCTTATTTTTCTTCAAAATCAAGTTTTTGGTTTTGTTGCAAAATAAGGAAATATAAGTGAAAAATACCATCAGAACTATTGTTATACTGTGCATAAGCATTAAGTATCCAGGGATCAATACGCCTTAAAATTACTTATTTTATTTGAACATTTTTATGTTTATTTTTTATGATATTGCACTTTAATGAAAGGAATTTTCCATTTTTTTGTTTCAGGTACAGGGAATGGAGTTTATAGAAAAAAAAGCTCAATTGGAGGCAATATGGAGTCATGGAGCAACGACACCTAAGCGCCACTTCTGGTGCCTAAGCACGAAAGACAAGACAAAACTAGTACCCAGGCGCCAGATCTAGTGCCCAGGTGTTAGGTAGTTATTTGATTTTCTAGAAGAGTGGCACTTAGACGCCACAGTTGAGCACCTAGGCGCTAGGTCGGTTTGATCTTTATACACTAAATTGGAAGAATTTTTAAGAGGTGTCTGAAGCAACCCTTGGTGATTTTCAGAGCTCTATAAAATAGAATGAATTGTACAAAAAAAATGAAGGTCTAAGAAGAGTTTTTGAGAGTCTAGCGTGACTTTTGTGGGTTAGAACACCATAGTGAGAGTGTGGTAAGTTCTTCTATTTGTGTGATTCTTATGGAGTCAAGAGCAGTCAAAGGACTTTAGAGTTTGCTTTGAGAGAAGCCTAAGATAATTATTTCATATTTTTGTTTAAGTTTTGTTTTCTTATGTGAACTTGATCATCTATAGAAATTTATGTGTTTTTGTGTTATATCCATGAATTCTGAGTAGTTTCCTTTCTTTCTCCTTGCTATGAGAATTAATCATTAAGGATGAGAATGATTTGAAGATTTCTATTTATTTTAAAATTTATGATGGTATTTTCACCAGTTCTTCTTTGACTTTGCAAATTGGCCACTTGTGAGGTTAAAATTTGTTGCCAACTATAATGACCTGAGAGAGCTATTATTTCACTCAATTTGTGATTACCATGTTAACCTTTAGGATGGGAGGCCGACTCAGTTCACTGGTTTGTGCAAATAGACATGGAGATAAGTTTTGATGGCTGTAAAATTGATGTTCATAGGGTGATAGACTATATTCTTTTGTCAATTTGGCCTTGAGTTCGGAATCTGAGCCCCTAATAAGTCTTATAAAGAGGGCATAGTGGGTATTCTAGAATTGAGATGTCAGAATTTACTCAGCACTACTATACAATCAAGGAACAAACTAAGATTACCCAATGTTTCTTACATGCATCAAAAGGAGTAAAGAATTGGTATGCTCATATTTGCCACAATACAACATTTTATATTTTAAAATATTCAAATCCTACACTGATTATGTTCTCTTTGCAAGGGAAAAGTTCTTTTTTCATATCCTTTGAACTCTTTTTAACAGTGTTAAGTAAGAAAATTTGCACTTACTTTATGGTTACAATTAAATCTTGCATATATTTAGTTTTAATCTTTTCAAAAATATTTCGACATTTTTTTCATATTAAGTTGTGGTACTACAAGAATATCACTCTAACTTCTATGTTTAGGATGATATATTTTGCATTTATTTGTGGAGTGTCTACCGATGGGGAATCCTGATTAGACATACTTAGAAAGTCACAAATGATGCTTGTAAATCTATGATGTATCTTCCAACCCCTACACTATTAATGATTTCTTTCAAACGAAGACATAAACGAACTAAGGATGACAAAACTCAAATATTATTAAGCTCAGCACATCAAGTAAATGAGCCCAAATTTTATATTTATAATTGGATTATTAATTAAACGAGTTGAACACAAACTAAATCCCTCTGCATGTAGTACCAGATAACCACAATTAAAAATTTATGTTACACATATCACGAAGTAAAGTAAATAAACTTAAAATATATCCTCCTAATTAAGAATTTCATTAGTATCTCCAAACCTAATTTTTTTTTATTAATAAACCAAAAAGCAAAAAATTAAGAAAGCAGATAAGCATCCCTTCACATTTCAAAGTAGAAATTTACACACTTGGAGACATAGCACACTCATCTTCATGTACAACAAGCATATCTAATTAAAGGAAGAAAACTAGTCCAAATTTTTTATGAAGATAGGTTTAAAATTATTAAATTATTTTAGGATAAGTATAATCATGATAAATTATTTAAAACTTATATCATGCTCGCCTTAAAATGCATTTAACAACTTTAAAACTCATCAATCATCATTGCAAAATAAAATTAAAAAAAAAAAAATCCAACCAAAATAACGACCAAATTCAGTCAATTTTGCTCAATTAACTCCCATCTCTCAAGGGTGGCATTGATTTCGACCCTGCCATGGCTTTCCCACGATAGGAGGAATGATTGTCGCCGGCCCCTAAAGAACCAAGACTTCGCAACGCCGGAGCGAACCTGAGCCAGTTTAAAAATGTCCGTTTGTACGGCAACGCCGTCTTCCTCTTCAGCTCCTCCGCCGCCGCCCTGTTCGCCGCATAATGCATGGCGTGCGGCGACGGCAACCGGAAACTCGAACTCCTCGACTCGTCTCCTAAGCTTCCCTTCCTACCTTTCGGCGACAGACAAGCCGCCGTGTACTTCCTCAACGGATCCTTGTTCTTATCCCCTGTAGCTCGCCCCTCAGAAGCGCTGCGGAAGAGAAGTAGATCTTTGAAACACCATTTCTTGCCGCTGTTGCTGCTTTCTTCCTCTGTTTTACAGGAGATCGGGAAAGGATTGCTGGGATTGGTTTCTTTTCGTAATGGGGAGAGAGATCGGGATCCTTTTCGGCTTCTTGAAGAAAGGGAAGGAGCTCTGCCTCGGCTTCTGCAGTCTCGAGTGGGTTCGGCCATGGAGGCGGAGAAAGGGTCGGAGTGTTTGGCGGTGATGATGTGGTTGGCGGCTGGAGAGCAGAGACGGAGGGGGAGTTTGAGGGGACGAATCTTACCTATTTGTTGAGCACAAAAAGAGAAGTTTTTAATATTGATTGAAAAAAAATGTTTTTTTTTTTTGAATGATCATGATGGAAGGATTAAATACTTGATTTTTATGAGCTTCAAAGTTGTCTGTAAAAATTAAAATTCATCAAATCTTTATTGACTTAAAATCTGACACTTATCAGAGATGATAACAGCTCAGCCATACTAACAAATCCTAAATTTAAGATTTTGAAATGAAATTTGCCAAAACCGTTGGATTTCGAACCTCAAACAAACAGCTCGAAGAATTTAAATTAAAATTTTGCTTAAATCCAAACAAATTTTCATTACCCTTGTAGAATAATTCGTCGGCGGTTGTGAGTTCCGGGGGAGGAGCATTTTTGTCAAGATGGCCGCTGAAATCGAAGGCAAAGTCGTTGTCTTCGTCTTCCGTGATATGAGTAGGCGATAAGCAGGAACTGCCTACGGCGGTTGAGGCGGTGGGGCTGGTTGGGGCGGTGGAGGAGTGGCGCTGGAATTCGAACCGCCTTGGGCTGGAAGAGAAAGAGGAGCTCATGTATGATGTTTTGGTTTTGCTGTTGAAGTGGAATCCCTGTACTGGTACTTCCACTTCCATTTCTGAAGAAATTTTTCTTCTCTCTTTTTTTGATTTATTTCTTTCTATCTGTGGGCTGTTCCTCGCTCATCGACTTTGTTTTTGGTTTGGATGATCGCTTGTGACTAGGTTGTTCCGAGCTGCAGAGGGCGGTTTTATGTGCGGAGATGTGGAGAAGGGCTTTATAAAGAATCGGTTGAGTGACTTTGGAAGGAAGTTTCTATTAAAAAAGGAGAGGAATTAAATTATTGGGCTATCATATCTAATCTAAATTTTTTTAATGAATATAAAACAATCAAAATTTTAATATCACATTAAAAATATAATTATTTTTATTAACTTTCAAAAATATCTTTTTTATAGATAATTTTATGGCATCAAACTTTTATAAAGGTAAATATCAATTTTTAGACGTTAGATTTATAAATATCAAAGAAAGCGGCATGCATGTAAATCACCCTCAAATTTTAGGATATTTAGGAAGGGTAACCACCTAAGCCTGTTATCTATAAATCTTAAGAGAAGTATAAGGAAATGTTGGGCTAGTATATTACGATTAATATGAAGAGTCCGTAAGAGAGTAAGAGAGTGTTTGAGATCATTTTATATTTGGGTAAAGGGTCAAAATAGTCCTCCCGGGCCATTTTTGCAACATAGTTCATTGATGTGTCAAAAATGTCTCCGAGTATCTTAAAATTAAGCTCAAATAGTACTCCATAGAGATTTTTTCAACCCCAACTTAATTTAAATAGCTTGGGGACTACTTTGAAACTTTTACGAGCTCTAAGTAGCAATACATGGCATGTTACTAGGGGACTATTTGGGCACTTTACTCCTGGGACAACCCAAGTAAATACTAGGGGACTATTTGGGCACTTTACTCCTTTATATTTGTATTTTTTTTATTTTTTAGGATATGTTGCTAGAAACATTCATCAAGTAAGAAATTTTAATTTAATATTTGAATTAAAAATTTGTAGAGATAAAATATGGGCTATCTGAACTCTAATTACCATAAAATAAGCTTAATTTCATGAAAGGTGATCTAATGTAAGTCCAAGTGAACCAAAATCAAGCATTTGTAGTACAATTAAAAATTTTGTGAATTCAATTAAAGACCAAGTGATCTAAAAAGTTTGTGTTCATACAAGGAAAATAAACAACCATGAAAAAAATCAAACAAGCACAATATCAATCATTTATGGGCCTAATGAAACACGTTCACACTTAGAAAATAAATTATAATCAATAAAATCAATATTAGTCAATCAAGTTGGGTGTTTTGAAATTTTCTTTAAAATCACTAAAATGCCACTATCAAGTTATATAAATAATTAACCTTTTTATACAGAAATAATTTCAATTTATAGATTTCAGAAAAAGATCTAAAAGAAGTCTGAAGCCTTTGCAAACAATCAAGACTAACGATCATCACTAATAACCATGAGAGTACAATCACTCTTGCTCAATGATTAATGTTCAATCATTTTTGTTTGACAATTACTCATTATCAATCGCTACCCAATTGTCATAGTGTTCATCTCTGTCTGGTCCTCTTCTTCCAATTTGTGTTTTTTTTTTTCCATAGTGATTCAATTGTATTTGTTTAACCATCATCAGCTAATTTTCAAAACCTAATTGTTATCACATGAAAATCATTATCATCATTCAGTATATTTTTAGTATTCTTTTATTTTGTAATCATTTTCTTATAAAGTTGGGAAGAGCATAAGACTTTCGTAATCTCAATTCTATAGTACAAAATTTCAATTGCATTACACTTTATGGTCATTATTATTATGAATATTATTATTATTATTATATTTTAATGAAAACTTCGGTGTCTTTGTTTTAAACTTCTCTTTTCTATGTATCTATGAGATATGCATACAAAACAAAAATATATGTAAAACTCTCTCAATTGTTATTCTACCACATAATTATCTATATTTTGTTATAAAATAAAACATATTTTATATCCTAAATATAAGTTATTTTATTTACTAAAATAATTGAATAAGCAAATTTATACAGCGGTGGCAATAACCACAGTGAAAACAACTGCTAAGGCCAAAGAATGAGACACAAACTACGATGGTGGTCTTCAAATGTGGTAATGCTCATCAACATCAACAATATTATGTGGAGTGATCGTTACCTTGGGTAGTAGTAACTATCAGTGAGATGGTGATGGTGGTGGTAAATGCTAGCTTTGTTAAAATGATGTTCACTAGTTTATATTTTATATTATATGTACTGCTTTTATCATTGTTGTGGAGGATTTTGATCATATAATATATTAGATATGAACTGAAGATGATGGATTTCATGGTGGAAGTAAAAGGAGCCATATGGTGTTGGAGTAATCTTGCAAAGATCAGTGGGGTTTGTTTAATTTATCATCATCATCATCATCATCATCATCATCATCATCATTATAAGGGAAAAGAAACCAACAATGAAAATGTTTAGTATTAATCTTGGAGTTTATGTTAGATGATTAAATGGTGATGCTATGATAAGTTTTATATGCAAAAACATGCATTTATGTTGTAATCAATGATAGGTAATGAAGTCAACATGTGTTAGTGTTTGCGTCGACAACGTGCTTCAACTTTATAAGTGATATCCGTGTTGATCGCATATATTGATCTTAAATGAAGACATGCATTGATAACATATATCCACCCTATAGGACATGGCTTGCTAGTCAAGTAATGATGATGAGACAATATTGGTTGCTAATAGTGATTGTCAACATTGAACATTGAGCGTACGTACTTTAGTAACCTCAAAATTGAGTGCTATTAATCTCATTAAGCTGCTTGTTATGTCTACAAATATGTGAGACTTGCTCTTTTTTAACTAACTTTTAAGTGCATAATTTGGATTCATTTTGACTTGAATTAGATTATTTTTTGTGCTATTAAATTTGTATTGTTAAAAAGATAAATTTGATTATAAGTTTTTTAAAATTAAAATTTGGATAATCTTAAATTTAATTAAAAAAATAACTAAATATGCACCACAATTTATGCTTGATTGAATAGATTTTATTATGACATGCTATTTACCCCTATTCATATACATCAAAATTTACATAATTTGTAATTACATTTAGTCTTGGAAGATGTAGTGTAAAATTATAATTTTATAAATTATCTAAAGTTCTCACATTAATGTGGACCTCTTTAGGGTTGCATAAGAAATAAAATATTTTCAATCATAATTTTATTTTATTTTTTTTAAAGTGGGCACTCCAATTAGAAGAAAAACTGTCAAAAATAAATAATATTAAAATTGTACGACAGTGCTCATAGTGTCTTGACTAGGCTTTAAATATTTCAAAATTAAATCTAAAATATTAAAAAAATATTCTTAAGACTCGCGCAAAACTCTAAATTAGACTTGTTTGGGACTGTGGTCTAACCTAGTGGGGAGAGCACTCCCTTAAGCCATGTGGAGGCACTGCCACGACGTGAAATAGAAACCTTCGTTTTTTCAAAATTTTTATTATAATAAAATTTTTTGCATTTCTTTTATTAACATTTTAATAGAATAACAAATTTCTTTTATTTTTTATGCAATACATAAACATTTTAAAATTAAATGAATTTCACTTAACTACAACGAAATTATCAAAATTTGCATAGTATAGCAAATTTATAAATAGTTTTATAATTGTACATAAAAAATGTGTTAACACAAATCTTAAAGAAATCTTATGACTGACACAAGAGATGATGTGACATCTTGGGACCTACTAGAGAAGATCTAAAATTTCATGCCGTGCGAGCCAGCACATATAGGCTAGAAAGAAGAGAATCTCGAGACATGCAAAATTCAATCATTTTCCTAAACGTTTACCAGCACAAGACTCCCGTAGACAAGTTCATTAGCTTTTTATCTGGCCCGGCGGGATGATCTAGCCAAATAACCCAGATCAAAAATAGCCGGCTGGAGATGTCCGTCACGTCCTTTCAAGCATAAGCCCTCAAGAGATAGCCTGATCGGTAGGGCCTCTGGGCCTTAGTGAATGGTCGTCCGACCCCAAAAAGACGGGTGAGTTCATCATAGACTCCCGACCCTACGTTGCTTGATGTCTCCTTAAGTACTCTACCCCATCCGGTCGGGCATCTTCCAGGCACCCGTTCTTATATTTATGTATTAATCAAAATTCCTCAGCTTCATCTTTGTGTTTTAGGGGTATAGAAAATAATTGTATACCCCCTATTCTTATAAATAGATATTTCATTTCTTGAATACAGGTTACAGGATTTTACTATTCTATATCTTCCTTTTGCTCTCTGTTCCCATCTCCCTCTTTCTCATACTCTATTCCTTAGGCGTGTCTCCAGGACAATATTGGATTCAACATCCTAGGTGTGGTGAGCTTGTACCTACGACATTAACAAGAAGAGCAGCACCACAGTCAAAGCGAGAGGAGACTGTCTGAGAGAACTACCTAATGTGAAAGAAATAAGAGATGTAATAAGAGCACTCATGCAAAGGGAAAGGCAGGAGATGAGGTCCCAAATAATGGGCCAAGTGTTGGGGTAGATTGTTGAAGTCCTAAGAGTCGTTACAGATCTAAAGGAAAAGTGTATCCCACACGAGCAACCCCCCTAGAAGGAAGCATTGGTGCACAATAGTAACAGAGTGAACCACAGTCTGAAGAGGGCAGAAGACTCGTAGTATCAGGATTGTAGTGGATTATTGCAGGTGGAGAGACAATGATTCAAGCGTACTAAGGCCCTACGGAAACCAAAGATCCAATTCTCCCACCAGATATCAAAGGTTGGGACCCCAAAAAGCTTCAAACTACTAGCTTTGGAGGCCTACAGGGGTCGGCCAGACTCAGTCGGTCACATCGTTTCATTTGAGTCTGCTGTGTTCTTGCTAAATATCTAAGATGCATTCAATTGTTGCCTGTTCTTCATTACTTTGAATTCATCGATCTTGAGGTGGTTCCACACTGCTTCTAGCTGGGACATCGACAACTTTGTTGATTTCAAGAGATTGTTCGTGTCACAATTTGCTAGTGCTTGAAAACCCATCAAAAGTGTGCAAGTCTTGTGGAAACTCAAGCAAAGTCAGCATTAGAGCTTGCAACCATTCTCATAATGTTTCCAAAGGAA